GCTACATGAAGCTCATGTCCAGAATAAGGTAAATCGAGCAACATTAGATGCTATTATTTGAGAGGTAACTGGGGCTTCGTTGAAGATGAGATTGTTACGATGGTTCTATGTACACCAGCAAAAGCATGAAAGGAGGACCCTCCAAAGTGCTCTGAGATCGCTACTGACCAAGAAATTATCCTTGACTGTAATCAATGAATCCATATCCTGCGGCCAGTTATCTAGAGTTTCTTGAGGGAGAAGAATGGACCATGTGTTTCTAGTGAATGGGCAGGAAATGAATAAATGATCATGGGTCTCGATACCCAGGTTGCATAAAGGGCAACTGAGGTCACCAATCAACCCTTTTTTAGACAAATTATCTCTGGTGTGAAGTCTACATTTACTAAGGATCCCTTTCAGCAGGACATGGGGATTTCCAAATGAAGTTGTAGTAAGATGAAGAGTGTCATCGTTAATGATAGAATAGAATGACTTAATAGAGAAGTTCCCTGATGGGTGATATGGCCACCAGATACTATCTTGGACGGAGGCTCTTGTAGGCTTGATGAATTCAAGGTGAGTGAGGAGGGCTCTAATCTCAGATCTTTCTTCTCATGAAGTTCCTCTTCTTAGGATAGGATGCCACCTCCAAGAGTTATGAATCATGGTACCTTGAGACCGGGTAGAACAATTGCTGGAAAAAGCCAAACGATGTGCCAAGGGGAAGAGGCTACAGAGAGAATTGTCTCCTGACCATTTATGCACCCAAAATCTACAAGTATTTCCAACACCTAGCTTCCATCTAACATGGCTAATGAAAGTTTGGTGAATAGAGTGTAAGTCGTGGCTCAGTTTAGAAGCAGAACCTTTGGGAGGGTTTGAGATAGGGTTGTTGTTGTTGGTTGAGTATAAGAAGAAGATGACTTTACTGATGTATGAGTCTCTGTTGAGGATTTTCATGTCCATTTGGATAGGAGAGCTTGATTGAAACATTGCATGTTGATGATGCTTACACCACCTTCTTGTTTTGCTTTACAAATGTTACCCTAGTTAACAAGGCATTTGGATTTAGAGGACTGCTGGTAACCACCCCATAGGAAGTTTCTCTTGATTTGTCTATGGACTTGGTGAGCCAAATTGGTAATTTGAAGAAAGACATATAGTATAAAGGAAAGGAGGATAGGATGTAGTTGAGTAGAATAAGTCTACCCCAAATGGAAAGAGATTTGTTTTTCCAAAGAGCTAGTTTTTTGGAGAAGAAATCAAAGAGGGGTTACCACTCACGTCTAGTGAGGGATCCTCTCTTGAGGGGGAGGCCAAGGCAGGTGAATGGGCAAGTGGCTACAAAGCAATTAAGGATTTTAGCGAGCCAGACTCCTTTGTGGGGGATTTTGCCAAGGTAGAAGAGATTTGTTTTGATGTAGTTGACGTTAAGACTAGAGATGTTGGCAAAGATGTAAAGGATAGTTTTGAGGGTGATTATGTCTGATGAAGTTGCTTTGTAAACGATTAGGGTATCATCAGCGAATTGGAGGAATCTGATAGAGTTGAGCTCACCTTTTAGGTTGAGCTCGGTGAGGTCCCCTGAGGACACACTAGCTCTGAGCATCTTTGTAAGAACATCAACAATTAACAGGAAGAACATTAGTGAGAGGGGATCACCCTGCTTAAGTCCTCTATGGCACTTGAAGAAGTTGGTAGGGGAGTCGTTGACCAGTACCGCAGATTTAGAGGATGAAAGGACAATGGAAATCCAATGGCACCATTTAGGACTAAAACCTCTAGCTATGAGGAGGGCAAGAAGAAAATTCCAATTAACACGGTCAAAGGCTTTGAAAAAAATCCACTTTAATAGCACACAATTCATTCTTGCCTGAAGAGCAATGGTTGATGATTTCGTGGGCTAGGAGGATGCAGTCCAAAAAGGACTTACCGCTTTGAAAGGCTGCCTGGGAGATATCAATGTGAGATGAGAGGAAGGGACTGAGTCTGTTAGCTAGAATTTTGGTGAAGATTTTGAGTGAACTACTTTTCCTTGATATTTGAAATCCATCACATATTCTCGACAGAGCCTAGGTGAGTGATTTTTATTTTTGTGTCCTTCACTGTTCTTTTGTTAATTTTTATTTGCCCCCCTCTAAACTATTTTCCATGTGCTTTTATATTGCTTTAGTTGTGACCCTCCGTATTACTTGTCAGATCTGAAAAACTTTTATTCCCCCCACCCCGCCTAAAAAAAAAAAAAAACCCGGCCCATTACATCAACCTTTTTCTTATTAGATCTAGCTCTTCATTCCTAAGGGTTTAAATTAAAAATCCACAAACTCCATAACGTAGTTCTATATTGGGTATTTGTATAGATTTTTTTTATTGTTTCTAAATCTTATGATATAATTTACTTGAACTTGTTTGATCACGTTTGAACATAATTATTTTCGAAAATGATGAGGAATTTTACAATAATTAAAGGGAACTTTTGAATTTTGAATTTTGAATTTTTGTTGTTTTTAGAATTAAATTTGAATTTTGGATTGTTTGAAAAGATTTTTCTTTCTTAGTTATATTAGAAATGAATAGCAATTGTATCCATGAAAGTGAAAAGTTGAGATTGAGAAGGTGGTTGTGGGAAGGATGTAAATCACAGGAAAAAAATGTACAAACCAACATAGTATGTGGGAAAAAATGTCATAGTAATATTGTTTTATCTAAAGTATATTCATTTTTATCCTTGATCTTTTATGTTTTGCTTTACCTGACAAGCTTAGCCATTCCTTTATCACTCTACACTACTGTCATATGCATATAAATTCTGTAGTATGAATAACATTTTCTACCAAAAATTTCTTTTGGAACATTGTTGTACATTAGTTCGTTTCATGCAGAACAAGTTACAGATAAAGCAATTTCAACTTTTTTTTTAATATTTTGATTATTTTCTTTCTTAATTTAGGAGTTAGTGTTCGCCAATTCTCGATCTCCTCGATTTCAGGAATTATGTAATCTTAGACTTAGGTGAAAAAAATTCAATTTCAAAAAGATATACAATTTTAGATATAAGAATGCCTTTTTATTTAAAGCAATTATCTAATCCTAGACAAGAAGCTTTGCTTTAAAAAAAATCCTAGACGAGCAGCTTTTTCTTCCACAATATAATTATTCTAAAAAAATCATTAGAATGTGCGTTATTATATGGTACTATTTTGCATCTTGTCTTACTAAGTTCTTAGTATACTGCTTATTATTTCTTTTTTAATTATATTTTGTATTTTACTTCTTTCAGGAATTTTATAAATGGGTACATTTGGTGGACCCCCCATGGATATTCTGCAATTAATTGCTGAAAAACTAGCTGATCATGCAAACGTTCTCCTGTTTGGTGCTATTTGTAGGCAATTCAGTTCTATTTGTAAGCAAACCCCCTCCCCTCCCATTTTGCTAATGCAATGTAGTGATATATAATGAGGGGACAAAAACAAACCTTTTTCCTATTTCCAACCAAAGAAATCGTAGGGAGTTTCTCGAGCCGGAATTAAGAAGCAAGAGTGTACGTTTTGCCGGATCCTCTCATGGTTGGTTGTGCACGGTGGATATCCAAAAGCCGAGATATTCAGCTAGTAAATCCATTAACGAGGCCCCAAAATCCTCTCCCATCTCTGGATGCATTCCAACATCCTAATGGCGGTTTCAAAAGATACGGCTTCAATGATTTCGTGTTTGTAGAGAAGGTTGTTATATTGTCAAATCCTTCAAATTAATAAGCGCAGAAATTTGAATGACGATGACGACGACTGCATGTTAGCCATGGCAATCATCTCCAATTTCGGTGTGCTATCATTTTGTAGGGTGGGAGATGACAAGTGGACTAACATATAGAGGGTGTTTGGAAAGGCTTATTTTTTAAGCTTATAAATTATGCTGGTTTTTAATGACTTTTGGCTTTTTTTTTTGATAAAAATACTATAAAAATTATTTGAGTAGAATAGTAATTTGCTTGGTCAAACCTAACTTTTTTAAATGAGCATGTAAGCTAGTTTCTCAAAAGCTGTGGAATACCAGCTTTTCAAAATGGGACTTATAAGCTAATTTATTTGGCATTTTACCAAACAGGTAAAAATAAAAAAGCTAGCTTAAAAGCTAATTTGACTCGAAAATAAGCTTCCCCAAACACCTTCATAGAAGATTGTCTTATTCATATCCAAGATGTCATCTATCATAAGGGTCAGATTTATGGTGTTAATTATACGGGGAAAGCTATTGTTTATGATTTTGCAGGTGATGAGGAGAAGATGAAACAAATTGCAAATTCACCGGACAAGATGATTAGTGTCCACGGGTATCTTGTTGAGTCGACGTGTGGAGACCTGTTGCAAGTTGTAAGAGTGATCGATTAGTATGATGAAGATGAAGATGAAGATGGAGATAATGATTATCAAACGGCTTATTTTGTGGTCTACAAGCTTCAAGCTATTGAAAAGCCAGTCAAGCCTAAAGGTGCGCGCTCCTTATAGGCTCATCTTTGCAACAGTCCCAAGTAAACATGACTTCGACTTTAAATGTGTTGGGATGGATAGCTTGGGTGATCAAGCTTTGTTCATGGGTAAGAACGATTCGCTTTGTGTACGAGCAGCCAAATATGAAGGATGCAAGCCAAATTGTATATACTACGCAGACCGTGGGTTGATGGGGGTCACAGAGCCATTGCGCGGGGATATTTGGACAATGTCAATAAGAAATCTATTTGCGACGTGGGCATATATGATGTCGTAGCTGATGGCTTATAAAGTTTTAGCCAACTAAATGTCAAGTACCTTGTTCCCCCCATTTGGATTTCACCAAATCCATTACAGATATGTACTACTCATCATCTTTTGTTTCCCCTGATTTGTGATATTTCTATTCATGTACTGTGATAAATTTATGGTATCAAAGTACATTTACTCTTTGGCTGCGTTTGGGAACTTAGATTTGGGTCCTGGATTTAAAATCCTGGGTATTTCAAATCCAAATCACTTGTTTGGGCCTCAAATTGGACTGAGATTTTAAATCAAATGATTTTAAAGAGGTGATTTTGAAAGCCCAAATACACGTATTTGAAATCCCACCCTCACCCTTCGTATTTACCAAATCCAAATCCGGACCCGACGACTCCCCCGATCCCGACTCCTCCTCCCTCTCGTTTCTCAGCGGCGATCCCTCTCGTTTCTCAGCGGCGATCTCGAATCTCCAGGTATCTCTCCTCTCTCCTCTCTCCCCCTCTCCTCTCTCCCCTTCTCCTCTCTCGTCTCAACGCAGGGATCTCTCTTCGTATTTTGAAACCCTAGATCCGATCTGAGTTTGCTTTTCTCTGTTGTAGCTTTTTTTTCAATTTCTGCAGTTTCTAATCTGGGTACTCTTTATATCTCGATCTCTTCCGTTAAAATTGTCTGTTCTCTATGCTAATGGGTGCCTGCCTTATGTTCGATTTTATGCCATATGAATTTTTTTTTGATAAACCAAGTTACGTACTGGTTGATGATTGAGTGACTGTTGCCTTTTGTTGTTTGGTACTGTAATTTGGGAGAATATGTGTACACATGCACTCCCATATAAATAATTCTATTTGCCTGAATATAGAACTCAAAACCCATACTTGAAGGGAAAAGAAATCGGATCCAGATAGAATATGGATATTTACATGAAGATAGGAAGTTAATTTATTCTTTTGTAAGTATAAAAGATTTGAGTCATGAAGATTTGGATTCAACAGATGAGTTCTAGTTGTAAGTATCAACAGTTCTTTATTCTTTTGTATGCTTTAGATATTGTTTTTCGGAAATTCATCCAGTTGTATTCTAAGAGATAGAATGAGACATGGTCGTGGTTAATACTATGTACTAAACCAAATGTTGAGATCAGTTTGCTGGCTTCCTGTGTAGTTCTTCTATTTTCTTTGATAGAATGAACAGTCGAGAAGTTAATTTCCCCATGTTGTATCTAAGTTGAGGAATTATATTTTTGGTGAGCTCACATGTTAATTTGTTAGCTTAATGCATTTCTACCCCAGACGAGACTACTATTCAAGACTTTGCTGCTATTTTTGTTATTGTGTTGCTGCATAAACTGGTTGAATTAGCTCATTTAGGCATCCCTCGAATAATCGAAACTGATGTTAGATTATTGGATTTTAGTACTTCAATTCAACATGATGTATTTTATTTTGTGTATCACGAAAGACTAATGTGAGACAGAACAGGCACCTGATATTTCATATGAATGCACATAAGTTTTATCAATTATATTACTGTATTGGATTACTTGAAGCATCTCCATTTCCCTCTGCTGCTAATAAAGCTAGAGTAATGTTGTGAATATTACTGTTTAGACCATTTGCATCTGTCTGTGATTATTTTTTCAGTGCATTATTGGATTTAGTTATATGTTAGATTTAATGCCTGTATTCTGGTTTTCCATAATTGTCGTAGCTGACATTTTATGTCATTTACAATTTTGTATCATGGTTAAGATTGAACTCATTAGAAATTTCATATCATAGTATTACTGACTCTTGACATTATATAATATCTATCCCTGTCCCTTAACTGGAGGTTTATCTGTGTCATTTATGACACTTTTGACAATTTATTTTTGGTGAACATGGATTGATTTCCATTTTCTGAACTATTTAAGCCTACTGTCTTTAGTGGTCTTTACAGATGTTCAACCCATATATTTCATGTGTATCTACTTTCTGAAACGAAAATGCAACACTAAAACAAATTGCATGCTAGTGTCATAGTTTATATCTGAAGAACCTTAGGTGCGCACTTTTGATGTATTTTTCATTCTTGGAGTTCCATTTGTTCCCTCAAAATCATGTTTTTTGAAGTCATGAATTATGCTACAAAGATTAGCGCTTTAATTTACATCAACTAGAATGAGTTTGAGCTTGCTTTTAAGTAGCAGTTTGTCCTCTGATAAGAACCTGAACATGGTGCAAGGACCTTGAATACTTTACTTCGGTAATGCCTGAATTTCAAAGTAAACTGAGACTATGCGTGCACAGATGCTGGATTGACTGTAATGTTTTGTGGTAAATACACTAGTATTCTTGTTTGGATATTGTGTGATGGGAGACTTCCAGCATTAGAAGGTGAACTATCTATATGTATGTATGTGTGCATCCATATAACATAAATAATCAGTTAGTATATACTTCCAAATACTTCCAAGGTACATTGAATATGCAGATACACACTCCTATATCACATGATAACTTATAAATGGTGGTATAGGGTACTTCCAGTAAAAAGTGGCACTGTGTGCTTTTCTCAGGTTGGTTTTGTCACCTTCTTCCTAAATTCTGTCCTTGATAATCTAACATCAACAATTGTCATGGTCTCCTTGTTGAGAAAACTAGTGCCTCCATCAGAATACAGAAAGTACGCAATCCTGTACTTGTTTTCTTTTTCTTTTTTTAAAGGTTGATGGTCTTCATGATTCAACTTTGAAGTTCGATTTTTGTGCCATGGACTAATTGATGCTAAATTGTGTAATGTAGGACTCAAATTCTTCGAGACATGAAGTTGGGCGCATTGGAGAGAAAAGAGGAGAAGACTTGAAGGATAAATAGAGGATTCTAGATATGTTTTCTTTTAATAGTTTATGTTGTCGTAATTTGGCTTGTTGTAGCAAATCATGGTTACTTCTTATAGCAAATCATGGTTATCAACTACCTATGGCATGTTGTGTTTTAAATGAAGTATTATTGTGGAGTGTAGAGCTTCTTATGAGGAGTGTTTGCTAAACTCTTTTGACTCGTCGAGTCTTTTATCATGGCTAGTTATTGGAGTAGTACTCTTGTTCTTTGGAGATTGAAGGTTGATGTAGTATTGGATGAAGCCATGAAAAAATGGCGTAATAATAAATATTTTGGACATTATTATTATTTTTTGTATTCTCTCATACCGATTCATGAAGGACAAGATGTTTGCATGTGTATTTATAATTGCTAATAAAGAGATCAAACTTCTGAGGGGGTCGTGAAATTTACCCTAACTTTTTCCTCAATATAAACCATAATGTCCGCATTTGATTTAATTATTAAGGAGTTAAGAGAGAGCATAAATTTTTTTAAAACACCAATTTCAAATCCAAATTCATGTATAATAAAGTGCATCCAAACATCAGATTTTAAATCTGTGATTTCAAATCCTTGCATTTAGTGATGACATCCAAACAAAAGATTTTATCAAATCATGGATTTCAAATTCTAGATTTGAAATCCCATGATTTTAAATCAACCTTTCAAATCCAAATCCAAGTTCCCAAACGCAGCCTTTACTAGGTTCAGACTTTCTGTCGCTGTCACCACGTCAAACGTAACAAACGCAAACCTTTCTTCCATTCTATGCTCTTGGCATTGTTATAAAGTCGTGCCATGCTCTCAGCATTGTTCATCAATGAACAATTTTTACCTCTCAATTTAGCAAATTCTGGGTGGCACGACTTTTCCTAAGAAGAAAGCCCCAACCATATCCACATTAACAAAACATACAGACCGTACTCCCAACTCAAAAAGGTATCATCGCATACAGTACATTAGCATTTACATTGTTAACCAACTAAATACATCCCCAACAACTATCTAAGCCATTCAAAATATCAACTAACCAACAACTAGGGGTGGCAAACGGGTCGACCCGACCCGACCCGACCCATATAAAATTTGACCCGACCCGTATAAGTGTGACCCGACCCGACCCGTTTAATAAATGGGTCAATGTCATCCGACCCATTTATTAAACGGGTTACCCGACCCGACCCATATAACCCAAATGGTAGAGAATACTAAACATTTAAGTAAAATTCTTTCAAACAATGGCATTCTCCTTTGCTTCTTGAATATTAAACAGGTAAATCTTTTAAGGTACCGTTTGACAAAGGGTTAAGTGAGGGGTTAAGGAGACTTAACCCCTTCTTAACCTGCCAAACACAACAAATCTATATAAGGGTTAAAGTGAGTTAACCCTCCATAATTTGCCAAACATAAAAAATATAGAAGGGTTAAGTTAACCCCTCTAGAGGGGTTAAAATGAGTTAACCCCTCAAAATGAGGGGTTTACTAATACTCCTATTTAGATGGAATAAGAGTTAACCCTTCTAATTATAAAGAAAATAGTCAAAATCATTGTTATTCCCAAACACTAAAACTGATCATAAGGGCTAAAATAAAACTTATTTAACGGGTTAATAATTTAGTCCTTCGGATTATCAAATGGGCTAAGTACATTAATCCTTCTCTTTAACCCCTCTTCATTAACCCTTTGCCAAACGGGGCCTAAGTGATTTTCTCCACCAAATACTAAAACTGAAACAGAATAAGACAAACAGAGAATACAAACAATGACTAAGTGATTTTCTCCACCAAATACTAAAACTGAAACAGAATAAGACAAACAGAGAATACAAACAATGACATTTCCTTTCTCCTTTGCTTCTTGAATATTAAATTGATAATGAAATCCAGAAAAAGTAGATGTTGACACAGAATAAAACACCAAATTTTCCAGGTCTGAAAACTAAATACGCATTCAGGATAGCACCAACTTTTGCAAGGACTTGGGCTTAAATTCTGCGCACAACTCAATTAAAATTGCTAAAATAAGACAAGCTCCAGCAACCCTTTAAGTAAACAATAATTATCTGTATAAAAGAGATTAAAATGTCATTCTACATACATATGCATAAAAAAAATTGGAGCAAGATTACTCCCATTAGAATGTTAAACAGGTTCACAAACAGGTACATTTCAAACTCTCTGCAACAAATCCAATTTCACAAACAAGTTCATTTCAAGCTCTCTGCATATTCCATTGCTTTCTTCTTGACATGTTTAATTCTTTCTTCATCACCCTGTGACTTTTCATAGCTGAGATACTTCGTGAATAAGAACTGTAAATTATTTGAAAATAGTTTGATAAAGAGGGAAACAACACAAGAAAGTAAAAGATTAACCAAGATTATTGATCAACTTAGCAGAATGCTTAAAAACAACTTAGTAGAATACTTAAAAACAAGATTCAGTAGTATGCTTTAGCTCAAATAGTTTAAATGGGAAAACTGAATAGACAATCTAGAGAGTGAAAGTTTACGTATACATAAGCAGGATATTGATTGTGATCACAAGTCTGCAGAGCATCATCGCTACACTAGTGCTTCTCAGCCTATAGAAGAAAATAAAGGATTTACATCATTTACTTAAAAACAAGACTCTTGGCCCAGATTAGGGCTAGCTTGAGAAAGTGAATGTGTTTTAAATAGGGAAGAAGGTAAATTGGGAAGGTATTTCTTGGGTAGTAGGATAAAGGGGTTGGTTGCACTAATATTTTAAATTAAGGGTTTGAGGGTTATAATTTTGGGGTTGGGGAGGAGGATGTATGGGCCAACTATTTTTGGTTCCTCCAAATAATTTTTCCTTAAAAAAATAATTATTAAAACAACCAAACGGTTTAACCCATCTGGGTTAAACATCCCAAACAGTTATGACCGTTTGGGTGTAACGTTTGGATCTCCTTCTCGCCCAAATAGCTTCAACCGTTTGGGATATTAAAATATCCCAAACGGCTACGAGAACTGTTTGAACTGTCCTATTTTGTACTAGTGAAGTGTCCTCTATGCCTTGAGACTGACTGACACGGGTCAAGACATGGTTTTGAGAAGCGTCCACCGCCGCCTATATATCATATATCATAAAAATTAAAAACTTTGATGAGAAATCATTAAGAAGAGTCGGGGGGGCATAGTCAAAGCGTCACGTGATGATAATATCATAAATTAAAAATAATCCACCTTCTTCTCACCCTCCCACTTGATAATGATAGTCATCCATTTGAGATGTCCCCGTAATATCTAACAAAGTAATATATATGATACGAGCATATAAATTTATCAATTGACATAATACAATTAAATAAATTTATACATTCAATAGGTGAGGATCCATGTAAAGATAATGGCCTACGAGATGGCCATGATGACGATCCTAGATAAATAAACAAAATAATAAATATAATGCATACTTAAATCACAAATGCAATTTACTTCAACAAAATTTGAATTCTTATTTCGGATGATGGACCTTCTCAATCCCGAGGAAAAGATAGCCTTCTAATCTCCTACATTACAGATATCAAGAAAAATTTGCATAATTAGGTAATATTTTAGAAATTACATAGATTTTCATTAAAAACTTTTTGACTCATCTTTGCATAATTGTTAATCCATTAAAAACTTCTTTTTTCTCCAATATATATCATATTTCTAATTAATTAAAAAGGGCTATGATAAATTCCGGTATATCATTAGCAATATCAATATGGTTACATATTCGTAACACATATAACTAAAAATGACCTCCTCGGTATCTCACCATTTTCTCATTATTTTCACTTTTCGCATTATTTTCTCTAAACTAATCAAAGTCGAAGCCAAAAACTCATGAATACTTATCGAATATCAAAATTAATTAGAAAATAGATTTAAGATTGTGACGCTCCTGGGTTTACACAAGGCTGCAGTCCAAGGTAAAACCAGGAATGTCAAATGTGTCATGCACCACACCGTGCAATAACATGTTTCACCATCACAATTACTATCTCTCTAGTAGAGTCAACACAATAACATGTTTCACCATCACAATTACTATCTCTCTAGTAGAGTCAACAACAGGTGTAGGTACAAAAGCAAGTAAAAGATAATACAAGAGATATATGATGAAATGATAGAGATCAAAATGATATTTCATCATCCAACATATAAAAATATAAAGTCAAACTCTGAAATAACTAGCCTGGAGATCTTAACAAGTCTCAAATACAGAATATCTGATAAAAAGAAATAAGGCACACAGCCTTTACAACTTCTAGAATAAAATTCTCAAATATCTAAACAAAATGTCTACAGTAGAGCTCCATAAATAAAATAAAACTACAAAAGAAAGATGAACGCTAATATGCATCGTTATCAACCTACGACTCTCCGTGCACCTGGCTCGTTACCTGAAATGGGAGGGGACAACGAGCATCAAAGCACTAGCGAGCAACATCACAACCAACCCCAAGGAAGAGGGCTTGTTGTATATAGAAAATACAGTTGATATATATATATACATAAATCATTGATCCTAACAAAAAGTGGATTATAGTATTTAGGAAGTTACAACACGAGCATAGGTACGTCGAGCGAAATAATCCAAACAATGAAATCATCATGTATTTATCTTGTATCTCAAATTGTAAATCCCTAAACATCAAACCCGAAATCTAATACAGAAACAATAATATAAAGAAGACACACCCATCTCAGAACTCAAATACCATGTCATGTGAAAACCCACATAAGTGTCATGTCCAGCCTATCTGCCTATGTAAGTGTAAGTGTCATACTCAAGGTTTAAACAGATGTCCAATACATGGACTAAGACTAGATATAGTGCATGTCCAACACATGGACTGTATATAGAAATTGTCCAACATATAGACTGAATGATGAATGTCCAACACATGCACTGAATATGATAAATGTCCAACACATGGACTGCACATAATAATTGTCCAACACATGGACTGAATAAAATGTGTAAAATATCGATGAGATATATGAAAAGATGCACATACACTAATTTCACATGTGTCTCGATGTGCAAATCTAAACTCATGTCCGCAAGTCATCTCACATGTAAAGATGCATAATAAACAATAATTTCTAACACCAGATGTTCGAGGCGACTCCTCGTTCATATTAAAACACACACCAAAAGTAAACATGCACAAACTGTGTCGGCGATCAACTAAAACAGGCAGAAACCCTTTACAGGTTTCTATCTGATTCGAAACAAATCTAGAAGAGACACCATTATATCCCAAGCATAATATTACCGATATCAAC